CCCAGCCCCTAGACAAGTTCGCCCTCGTTTTGGGGCTGCAGCAGTTGGGCGCTGTCGTGGCTGTGACTGGCGACGGCGCCAACGACGCGCCTGCGCTCAAGACTGCAGACGTGGGCTTCGCCATGGGCGTCACAGGTGCAAACCCTAAGCCCTAAACCCTAAACCCTAAACCCTAAACCCTAGAAGTTGTTAACGGGCGGGGGGGAGCTGCGCATTTGCTGTGGGAAGCGCGGGGTGCAAATGTTAAACCCTAGTACCTGGTCTACAGACTGCAGACGTGGGCGTCGCCATGGGCGTCACAGGTCCAAACCCTAAACCCTAAACCCTAAACCCTAGCAGTGTTGATGCATAGTGGGGAGAAGGTGCATTCGGTATCTGAATCAGCGATTGTAAACCCTAAACCCTGAAACAGACTTAAACGGGCTGCAGTTGTGGGATTCGCTGTGGAAGTTACAGGTCCAAACCCGAAAGCTTAAACCCTAAACCCTAAACCCTAATACTTGCTGCGCAGAGGGCAGACGGAGGGATGCCCTGGGTTGCACAGGTTATAAACCCTAAACCCTAAACCCTAAACCCTAAGAGCTACTGCACAGACCGCAGATGTCGGATTCGCCATGGGATCAACAGGTTACAAATCCTAAACCCTAAACCCTAGCTGTGCAAAAAACAAATAAAGGAATCACAAACCCTAAACCCTAAACCCTAGGCCGCACTGCACAGATGGCAGAAGTGGGGTTGGACTTGGGCATCACATCTCTCCAAATCCTAAACCCTAAACCCTAGGCCGTATGGCCTGGCTCAAACATCGCCGGTCCTTAAGCGCAGCTGCTCTAGTACAAACCCTAAACCCTAAACCCTAAACTGTAAGCCTTGGAGCGTTCCCTGCTCTTCCTGTTTGCCTTGGGTGCCAAGATTAGGGTTCAGGGTTTGGGCGGCAACAGGGTTTCGGGCATAGAGTCCCACGGCCTAGGGTTTAGGGTTTAGGGTTTGTGGCCGACACAGACCCAAGTAGGCGGCACAGCCTGCAGCGCCTAGGCGCAGTAGGGTTTAGGGTTTAGGGTTTAGGGTTTGTGGCCGACAGAGACGCAAGAAGGCGGCACGGCCTGGAGCGCCTAGGCGGTTTAGGGTTTAGGGTTTAGGGTTTAGGGTTTAGGGTTTGCGCGCAGGGAAGGAGGTGGCGAAGCAAGCAGCAGACATTGTGCTGCTGGACGACAACTTCGAAAGTTTAGTTTCTGCTGTCAAGTGGGGCCGCAGCATTTATGCAAACATTCAAAAGTTTTTGGAGTTCCAACTCACGGTCAACGTCGTCGCAGTCGTCACTTCCCTCGTCTGCGGTGAGGGTTTAGGGTTTAGGGTTTAGGGTTTAGGGTTTAGGGTTTGGGGGTTGGGGGTTGGGG